TCCTTCGTGTCGCTGGCTGTCGCCGACTTTGGGTGGACTGTATCAGTATTCCTTCGTGTCGCTGGCTGTCGCCGACTTTGGGTGGACTGTATCAGTATTCCTTCGTGTCGCTGGCTGTCGCCGACTTTGGGTGGCTGTATCAGTATTCCTTCGTGTCGCTGGCTGTCGCCGACTTTGGGTGGCTGTATCAGTATTCCTTCTTGTCGCTGGCCGTCGCCGACTTTGGGCACTGTTTTCAGGTCTGACGTCTTCTGCTGATATCGCCACCTGGTGCTGATACACCTTTCTTTTCCAGCACCTCATAGTCCTCTCTTCCTCTTCGCCTACCACTGCTTCTCTTCTCTGTGCCGCGTCTTCATTGTCGCCCGCATTCGGGGAATTCTCGCATCTCTGCCACGTCGTTATTGCCTCACTCTCTCGATGCTGCACGTAAATAATCTCCCACGACAAGTCTGCGGCAAACGTTTCCCAGTCATTAAAATACTCTGCCATACGCTCCTTGAACAGCTTCACAGTGCTGGGTTTGGTGTGATGCGCACCTCTCACAGTCGCCTGCAGCCCAACCATCGTCTTCCGCGGCGCGTCCACGAAGAAAAAGCCGTCTATCAGCGGAAAGCTTCGTGCCTTTGGTACGTACAACACTCCATACTCCAAGTTAAGCCTTGGGGGATTGTATTCCAGTCGGGTCAATGAAACTGACTTGCCTGGATGCGTTTCAGTGTTTGATTGCAGCACACATGGCCGTCCCGGGCGCCCTGTTGGTGGCCTCAGCTCTTTAAGTCTATCTTTTACATTCTCCACAAAGCCCCTAATCGTGAATGCGTGCACACCATACCGTTCCAAAGCTTCTGGCAAAAAGAAATCCCTCAAACTCCATAATTGATACAAAAAATCCCTCTGTTTGCCTACTTCTGTCAACTTTATGATTAGTTGGTCCCCGATGTCAGAAGAAACCGGTAGGTTAGCAAAACTTTCGACCATGCCAGGTCTACACATTCGGACAGTTTTCACCAGCTTGTGAGACGCGTCATTCGCAGGCACCATTTCGTTTTCTCCAACTAAAATGTAATTATCAGCATTCGAAGCGTTGATCAAAGTCAAGACATGCGCAACCAGGGCCACGCGATCACGAATCTCATTGGCATCAAAAATGCATCGTGGAATCGGTCCAATTTGATCCATGTGCTTTTTGACCATCTCCCAGTATTCTGTCTGCTTCCCTGCAGAATCAGCACGCGTCCTCCAAGCACACATCGCCTTCACATCAAGCTCGTCCGGGCAATTCATAACGATCATTTTGGCCTTCTTTTGCTTCGCCCATCCTTTGAAGTTATTTTCGTTCGGAGATGACAACACAAGGATGCCCCATGACTTGGAGGG